TTATGGCTTAAAATCTGAAGAAGTAGATTTTGATCTATAAAAACTTACACTAAAATAAATATGTTGGTCTTTAAAATACCTCAATACTTTGAAATAGAAATATATTTTTCCTATTTATTTTTTGGCATCCATTGATTTGAGATTTTGGAGACGTGGCTCCAGAAGTAGCTGGATGCCAACATCCAATCTAGTAATTAGATTCCATCACTTTGCTTTGATCTGGGAAAAATGGAAATACTGAAAAGATCACTATTTCTGGTCAATGAAGCTCTGACTGTGAAGCATGCACCTGTGGAAGGAGCACCTTACAACAGCCTTCTTTATGGTGACAGTTTCAGAACTGCTGGAATACCACTCCTGTGATCCCCACTCAGCATGGCCAGGCAGCCTGGGGATGATGGGAATTGTAGTTTAACCCATCTAGAGGGCACCTAATTAGGGAAAGCTGCCCTGCTCAGTCCATGAAGTACCCCTGCTTCAGGAGAAAATGCTCTCTCACCACACATGAGATGGAGAAGAAAACTATTCACGCCACTTTACAAATGTTTGCTCTTGTTACTCTTTGTTGCCCTGATCATCTGTTCTGCTATGCAGCCCAAACTCACAGTCCAGTGGATTTCTCCGGCAAAACAGCAGAGACAAGTAGAAAGAGCTCAAAAAACAAGGCAGCTTCTCTAATTAAATGCAACTTTATTTTTAAACTTTGATCAAAGCACCGATTCTTCATAAATTAAGAATGTGTCCTCTTAGGTGTGCTTATCTGGGCACGATAGATGAATCTTATATTTATATTCAGGCTCTGACTGTGGTGAGAGAATAATTTCTTACATTAATCACCCCTGTGTGTTCAGATATTCCCTTACCTCTAGCTGTATGAGGAACATGTTTTTCTGGAGTGCCATTCTGATGAGAGGGTATCATGGGAGCAGAGGTGTAATGAAGCTAGGACTTGCAAGATCAAAGCACAGGGACTTTTGATTAGCAAGGGCAATGATGTCATTTGTATTAGCCAGTCCTTCTGGCTTCCCTGTTCTCTTGGCTGCAGTCCTCATGGGAGCTAAAGAGAAAACGGATTTTCCCAGCCACAATAGACTGTTATGAGCCATCCCTGCTATATGTTGGGGCAACTTGTTTTTGAATGAACAATTAAGATACATTAGCTTTACAGAATATCTGCTGCCATGGAGAGCAACATGCTTGAACTGGTCTGTTGATCTTGAGATATGGCCAGTATCCTGGTCAATGTTTGTATGTGTGGAGTGCCAGCTGCAAATATTAAATGTTGGTGGTGTGATAAGTTGATGGTTGCACAAAGTCATTTGCCCAAAGAGGTTACCTGTTTGTGTTGTTGCAGCAACTTTCACAGATGTAATTCTGTATGTGTAAATACAGAACAAGATACCGGCCACAATATTTCATCCCTGGTACAAGGAAAAAGGATCTTGTTTTTTGGATTCTCCTGTCGGGACTGCCCTGATGAGCATCTGCCTTTTCAAAGTTTAATGCTTTACCACTGGATGGAAACAAATGTAAAAAACAAGGAGGGGAACACAAGACATTTCACTGTGGCCTTCTCCAATTCTGCATGCATGTTATACACGCTTGCTCCTTCTTATGCCTCTCGTGTCATGAAAGGTATGATTCCCATCTCCTTCCAAAGGGCAGTCCCTGCGGATTTGTTTAAAAAAGGACTTGACAGAAATTCCTTAAAATCCCCTACCTCAAAAAGAAATAAATATGATACCAGAAACAAATATCACTCCAGGGAGAACAAAAACTTCTCAGAACAAAGAATTCTCCACATACAGCAAGTTAGCATGCAAACACCATTGGGTAATTACTTTTTGAACTACCAAAGGTTGTCCGGCCAGCATGTAAAAATCCCTAACCTTTCAAACACTGACATATACAAAACAAAGATATGCATTTTTAAGTCTTCCATTTACATAAGGAAATGCTAAATACACATAAATACAAGGCATGCTCACATGGCAATCAGCTCAGCTGTTTTTTTTTTCCTATAGGTATCTGAATAGATCTGTGAGAGGTGGGATCCTGGAGTAAAAGGAGCATTAGTTTGCACAGTCTTTTGATATTTTGATTATGTTGCCTATTTTGCATTAAAAAAACAACAGAGTCCAGGAGTACACAAACTTAACTGCTAATTGATTATGTTGCCTATTTTGCATTAAAAAAAACAGAGTCCAGCAGTACACAAACTTAACTGCTAACTTGCACAGGTAACATTAGTAGCAGAATCTAATGGATTTGTGGGTCACATGTTTGTCATGTTTGTGTGATAGGTAAAGGTGCCTGTGACTCGCAATCAGATAATTGAAACTGGAATGCAGTTCCCCAAGTTCCCCTGCTTTTTCCAAGCTCTGTCTTCTGAGAGTATGCGCCCCTGTACCAGAAATTGGAGTGGAGGGCCTTTTGGATTAATAGGGATCATCACCATTATTTTAGAAATGCAGAGCTGTGGGAGATCCTATGGATCATCAAGTCCAGTCCCTATCAAGGAGGCATAGTGGGGAATCAAACTCCCAGTCTCTGGTTCCACAGCCAGATACCTAAACCACTGAGCTATATGGCAGTTCCCTCTTGTTGCACTCCTCTGACTCCCTGTTCTCTCGGAGGTTAGGTGCTGTCCTCACAATGGCTGTGAAGAAGGTGACTATTATCAGCAACTGCAGATTGAAGAAGGATACAAATTTTGGAGTTGCTTGGGCAAATAATGCTGAGTGTGCATATTATGTGCATGTTAAGTTGCACCCAACTTATAGCAACCCTAGTAGGGATTCCAAACCATGTGAGATATTTAAGGAGTGGTTTTACCATTGCTGCCCCACAATGAGTTTCCATGGCTGAGAATCTGAATCTGGATCTCCTGAGTCCTTGCCCATAATTCTACCTACTAGACCATATTCACACTGACGTTAACACTTATAAGTTTTGCCAGACACCTGCTCCTAATGATGGAGATGAAAAATGGCATATTATTTTTATTGATATAGATCAAAATAGCTGCTTGCATTTTCCATATGAAGCGTGCCTGCACTTCAAATATTTCTAGCTCCATACAAGTAATCTTTCTGACACACACACAAAATGCCCAACATTGGACTTTAAACGTGTTCCTCTTTGCAGTACAGGAACCTCACTTAGGCATCACTCCAGAGAAAGAGTCCTATGCCATGTCCTGTTGAATTCAATGAACTATTATATGTGCCTCTGTTGTGTTAAAATCAACATGAGAAGTTATTAGTTAGAATTAAACAGAAGTCTCATTGAATTCAAAAGGATTTTACATACTTTGTGAAAATTCTACACACAAATGTATCCAAATTGTGAACAACAGAGTACTATCACTTGTCACCACACTATTTGTAACTTCCATATGGATAGTAAAAGACATTCTGTTTGCACACTTCTTTTTATTCTCAGTAGAAATTATTACTGATGGTAATTTCTGAGAGATGATTGTTGGTCACACAAATATTGGCATTTATGGGCATATGTACACATAGGTGGTGCTTTCCAGAGTAATTGGTTTCTCTGTTGTCATCAGGCTGCATATAAATGAAAACCCATCCTAAAATGAATATTAATGCTAAAGGTCCAGTATAACTCATGCATGTGTGTCTATATGCATATTTTCAAGGTATAATCCTAAATTCTGGAAACTTATTTGGAGGGAACTTCCATTGAACTCAGTAGTATTTATTAGACAGACACAGGATTTGGGCTGAAAATATATTGGGTGGCTGTGTTTCAGGCAGGAAAGCTTAATAATAATAATTCTGTGTTGTCAAGTCAATTCTAATTTACGCCAATCCTTTCCAAGGTTTTCTAGGTGGAGAATACTGAGAAGTGGGTTTATCAATCCCTTCTTCTGGGGGTGCCCTGGGACTGTGCAGCTTGCCCAAGGCCATACAGGCTGGCTCTTCTCCCTGGAGGCACAATGGGGAATCGAACCCTCCAACTCTGCCGCCGGATACCTGAACCACTGGGCTGCAGAGCCAGCTAGAAATGAAAGGGTCTTGTAAATGCCTTCACTTAAACTAAAAACCTGTTAACCTAGTCCGGCTAGATTTGGGGACTGCCCTGCTCATTCTTCAGAGAATTGCCCAGGCACTCTGCTCCAATGCCCTGCTCTGCCAACGTCATGCTATCAAACGTGGCAAGCATAAACATGTCGGGAATTTTAAAGATGAGTTTATCCCTGGGCAAAAACTTTAGGGATAACAGTAACCGTGGCCCAGCGATTACATTTCTCCCTATAGAGAAAAGGGCCTCCTTGCAAATAAAAAATCATAGCCTTCCCGCGGCTCTGTCATTAGTTCCTGGGGCTCAGCCCTTTTGTTCCTTTGATCTCCAGGAAACCACAATCGCTCGCTCGCTCGCTCTTTCCGTGATCTGAGGTTGATCAACAGCTGCAGCTGCATTTTGCAGAGTCTGTTGCTCCTGCTTTTCGCTTGTTTTGATTCGCTCTTCCAGGATCGCTTTCCCGCGACGCCTTCGGACCCCGATCTTCCACGCAAAAAGAGACTTCTCGGTCTGCCCTCGCAGGAGGGTAACCGGAGCAAGACGGGTGTGTGTGTGTGTGTGTGTCTTTGCCCTCTGGGTTAGCGGGACTGGGAAACGGAGCTTTCCGAGGGCTCTCCCGTCTTCTGCGACGGCGGTAGAACTGAGCTTTCTCCTCCTCCTCCTTCTCTTTTTTCTTTGGGCTTCAGAGCGGGCGACACATTACACACCACCTCAGCGCATCATCCCCTCTGCCCTTCCCTTTCGGATGGCGCCAGCCTGGTCGAGGAAGATGTGGCGGGGAGATCCCCGAGCCGGCTGAACGCCCGTTCCCTTTCTCTCTCTCCCCCCCCCACCCCCGCTTGGAGTCATCATCGGGACCTCCAAAAGGCACCTGGGGGACGGATGGGCACGGCCGGCGCCCCGAGCGCGGCAGCAGCAGCACCAGCAGCACCAGCATGGAATGGGAATTCAACTTGCTCCTCTACCTGGCGCTTTTCTTCTTCCTGCTCTTCCTGCTTTTCCTGCTCCTCTTCGGGGTCATCAAGCAGCTGAAGAACTCCGTGGCCAGCACCGGGGCTCTCCAGCCGGGCCGCCACTCTTTGCGGGAGCCCTGGGGCTTCTGCCGGGAGCAGACCCTCTGAGGCGGCCTCGGCGGGAGAGGGGCGCCGCCCTGCTCCGCCTCCAGGGGGCGCCCCGGAGAACGCTGGGCGCTCAAGCGCCCCTTTGCCTCCAGCGGCTGCCTTCCTCCGCACCCCTCGCCGCCTCTAAACGCCAGGAGCCGCCTGGTGGGTTTGTCTTTGCATTTATTTACTAAATACTGTAGCACGTAGGCTGCTGTCGCAGGGCTGAGCGGTGCAACGGGTGATCAGGGTAGCATTGGGGGTTGGGGAAAAGGTATATTCAGGGGGGTTATTCACTTGTCTTCAAGTCTGGTAGTAGTGCTTATCAGCAGAAACCCGGGTCATCACAAGAGAAATGCCCCACAGCTTCCATTTCCCGTCCGTAAAATGGGACCAAGAGAGTCTTCCCTCGAAGGCATCCCGTGCAAGGTATATGGAAGCAATTTTGAAAGCAGCTGGACTGATCTCTAGAGGAGCTCCATCAGTCTCACAGCACTAGTCTCTGGTTTCCTTCTTGTAAATTGGCTTCAGTATTAAAGTTTGTTTTTGGTTTGATCTGTATTTCCTATACGATGGCCACCCAGCATAGTTCTTGACAAGATATATGCCAGATCTGGTTTAAGAGAAATACTGTAAGTAAATTGATGGAGAAAACATCTGGACACGTCTCTGAAATTCTAGCAAAATTATTAAATTTTGTATATTGCTTTTTTTCTTTTTTCTTTGCTTCCCCCCACCTTCTGTATCATATATGCAAAAGTTCGATTTTGTTTTTAAAAATACATTAGTTGTCAGGGTGCTGCCTACACAGTTTATTGAAGTACTGTACTGCAAAGGAAATGCCCTGAATATTTGAAACACTTGTTTTATATCATTAAGGGCCTCATCATTGCCATTATCATCAATTCCACATTAAGTAAATTTGTTCATTGTTGCATTCTCTGAATTCTACTGTTAGCAGTTACACAGCTTGAATCATCTTGAATGATTCTTCAAGAGTTTTTTGGTTTGCACGTATCACGGTAAGGTGTACATCATTGGAGAGAAGGAAGTTTGTCCTCACAACAACCCTATAACGTAGATTAGGACTAAGAGACATGCAATGAACTTACTGGCTATGTAGAGATTTGTCTCTCGACTAGATCAGATGGAAAGCTGTTTAATCTCTCTAGATTGAGAGCAAAGACCAAAGTCCAGCTGAAATGCATGCAGGACCTCCTCTTGGCTGATGATGCAGCTGTTGTTGCCCATTCTGCTGAAGAGCTCCAACAACTCATGAATCGTTTCAGCAAGGCCTGCCAAGATGTTGGATTAACAATCAGCCTGAAGAAAACACAAGTCATGGGCCAGGGCATGGACTCACCTCGCTCTATTACCATCTACACACAAGAATTGAAAGTTGTTCATGACTTTGGGTACCTTGGCTCAACAATCTCTGATACTGTACTCTCTCCCTAGATGTCGAGCTGGATAAACACATTGGCAAAGCAGCTACCATGTTCTCTAGACTCACAAAGAGAGTATGGCTTAATAAGAAGCTGACGGCATAACCCAAAATCCAGGTCTATAGAGCCTGTGTCCTGAGCACTCTCCTGTACTGCAGGGAGTCCTGGACCCTTTGTGCATGGCAGGAGAGGAAGCTGAACACGTTCTATATGCGTGGTCTCTGACGCATTTTTGGTATCACCTGGCAGGACAAAGTTCCAAATAGAGTAGTCCTAGAATGAGCTGGAATTTTTAGCATGTACACATTACTGAAACAGCACCGTCTACATTGGCTTGGGCATGTCGTGAGAATGGCTGATGGTCGGATTCCAAAAGATCTCCTATATGGAGAATTAGTACAGGGAAATCGCCCCAGAGGGAGACCACAGCTGCGATACAAGGATATCTGCAAGCGGGATCTGAAGGCCTTAGGAATGGACCTCAACAGATGGGAAACCTTGACATCTGAGCGTTCAGCCTGGAGGCAGGTGGTGCATCATGGCCTCTCCCAATTTGAAGAGACACTTGTCCGGCAAGCTGTGGCAAAGAGGCAGTTCCAAAACCAGCAACATTGTATTTGTCTTCCATGTAGAAGGGATTGTCACTCTCAAATTGGCCTTCTCAGCCACACTAGACGTTGTTCCAAGTCCTCTATTCAGAGCACATTACCCTAGTATCTCAAGACTGAAGGATGCTTAAGGAAAAGAGATTTGAACTCTGGTCTCCTCAGTTTTACAACTAACTAATTTTTTGCAAGTTTATTCAGGTGTAAATGAGGTTTACTACCAGGTAAGTGAGCACAAGATGATAGCTCTATGGGTAATCTTTTAGTAAATCTGTGCTGGGTTTCTATATTAAATTAATTTTATCACTTCAGTCCTTTGCCCCTCCAGATGTGTTATACTTCAGCTTCAATAGTTCTTTGCCATTGGTTATTAGGTTGCAGCTTCTGGGAGTTGAAGTCCACAACAGCTGGTGGGCCAAAATTTCCCCATCCCTGTCTTACACAGTAATTTATAAATACAAAATATGTCATCTAGCTTTATGTGTGCCTAGGAATGCCGTCCAATACCATTATATACAAAAGATGAATTAACAACAGCATGGTCATTGACTGTAACAGGATATGGATGATAATTTGGGTTAATTAAGATGTATTCCCCTTTCACTCTGGCCCTCTTCTCTGAAATCAGAATATATACTCTATCAGATACTAATGATCTCCTTCCTTCTCTCCATTTTAAACTCAAGAAACTATGGCCATAACTCTTTGTTTGCACTTTCTATCCTGTTCTCAAACCTCAAAAGAGTCTGAGCACTGAGGGCCCTTTAAAATCAAGGTGAAAAAGTAGTCATCATGACAAACTGATTTCACCAGACTAAAGTGTCACTGTCTTACTCCCTTGGCTTTAAAAAATAAAGGCTACTGAACTCACAGTATTTCAGCTGTCCTCTTTATTTTCCAGGTGGACTTTGATGGAGTAACTGAAGTCCATGTTTTTCCGAAGCAGTCACAGTACGAAGCTGACAATTGTCCTCTGGAAGTGCTGGGGCTCATGTTTGTCTGGAAGTCACTCCCTGGATCTGAAAGAATCTTCCTGGTGAGGAAAGTTAATCTGTGCAGATGCACACCTGAAGGACCTCTCCATGTCTTTCTTGAACATGAATGTTGAGAGATTCAGAATCAACCAAAAGAAGTGATTCACCACGCAGTGTATTGTTAAGCTATGAAAATTTCTGTCATAAAATATAATGCTGGCCCAGCAACTTGGCCAGCTTTAAAAGGTATTTAGGCAATTTCATGGAGGATAGAGCAATGAGTAGCTACCAGTCATAGTAGTTATATATTGTGTTGTTGTTGTTGTTATATGCCATCAAGTTGCCTTCAACCTACCAGAATATCCTGTCACTAACAGCCCTGCTGAGCTCTTGCAAATTCAGGGTCATTGAGTTCCTTTATTGAGCCAATTCATCTCATCTTTTGTAGGTGATCACAGAGCAAAGGAAGGAATGATGTGGGTGATCACAGAACAAATTAGCCTTCAGAGAGAAAACAAAGAAGTGTCCCTGTCTGAGCCAGCGGAGTCTAAAAGCAACACCTTGAAAACTTTTTTATTAACTTAACAAGGGTTACATCCTATGTTGTGAGAATTCAGATAGGATACTGGTTACTTAATCACCACTAGAACTGGCTGGAGAAAGCCTTTGAACTTATGATCTAACTCTAAGGGAAAAGGCAGAATAAGTAGGTCACCCCACCCACTGGCAGCTGCCGCTTCTCTGCCAGGAGAGTTTGCTCTTCACTGTAACAGATAACAACGAACGGCCTTGGGCAGAAGCTTCCCACAATCTTTGTCTTCCTCTTTTCCTGCTCCCTTCAACTTTTCCTGTCATTATTGTCCTTTCCAGCTAGTCATCATTTTTGTTTCTAGAAACAGTTCAAATTTAATCTGATCTAGGATCCCCTTGTTTGTATTTCTGGTGATCCACAATATCTTCAAAGCTCTCTTCCAACATAATACTTTGAACAAATCAGTTGTTTCCTGTCAGCCTTCTTTACTATCCAGCTTTCACATCTGTACATAGTAAATGAGAATACATTGGTGTGGATAATCTCAGCCTTAGTGTCCAGTGACATATCCTTACATTTTAGGATCTTTTTTAGTTCACTCATAGCTCCCTTCCAAATTCAGTCTTCTGATTTATTGGCTGCAGTCTCCATTTGTATTGATGGCTGAGTCAAGACAGAGCCTTCTTTACTATCCAGCTTTCACATCTGTACATAGTAAATGAGAATACATTGGTGTGGATAATCTCAGCCTTAGTGTCCAGTGACATATCCTTACATTTTAGGATCTTTTTTAGTTCACTCATAGCTCCCTTCCAAATTCAGTCTTCTGATTTATTGGCTGCAGTCTCCATTTGTATTGATGGCTGAGTCAAGACAGATTTTTTTTAGCTGCAGTCTCCATTTGTATTGATGACTGAGCCAAGACAGATTTTTTTTTTTTACAAATTCAGTGTCTTTGCTATCAAGATTAAAGTTATATAGCTCATCTATAGTCATACTAGAAGTTATATATTACCTCCCATATTTGAAACAATATATCTCTGTGTACCAGCTGTTAGGGAATGCAGCTACTGTGATACTCAGGTCCAGTTGTGAGTATTCCAGAGACGCTCTGTGAACAAAATGCAGGATTTGTTACTCTTTTGATCTGATCTGGCTTCTTTTCTTCTCTCTCTTTTTGAAATATTCATTTCCCACTTCCAAGTTCTTATGGTAAGGTAAAGGTAAAGGTTCCTCTGGACAATTTGTCCAGTTGTGTCCGACTCTAGGGTGCAGTGCTCATCCCCGTTTCCAAGCCATAGAGCCAGCGTTTGTCCAATGACAGTTTCCATGGTCACGTGGCCAGCGCGACTAGACACGGAATGCCATTACCTTCCCAACGAGGTGGTACCTATTTATCTACTTGCATTTTTACATGCTTTCTAACTGCTAGGTTGGCAGGAGCTTGGACAAGTGACGGGAGCTAACTCCGTCGCGTGGATTCGATCTTACGACAGCTAGTCTTCTCAGCTTGCAGCACGAAGGCTTCTGCGGTTTAACCTGCAGCACCACCATGTCCCTCAAGTTCTTATGGGGCCTGCCTCAAATCAAGCTATAGCTTGTTGTGATTTTTGGCTATCTGTCTGTCTGTCTGTCTGTCTGTCTGTCTGTCTGTCCGTCCGTCCGTCCGTCCGTCCGTCCATCCATCCATCCATCCATCCATCCATCCATCCATCCATCCATCCATCCATCCATCCATCCATCCATCCATCTATCCCTCCCTCCCTCCCTCCCTCCAGCCCATCTGGCAACCCAGGCCACAAAATATAAAAACAAACAACGCAAAGCAGACAATAAAATAAAACAGTCTATACAATATCAGCAGATAAATATAACATAGTAGGATATATATAATTTTAGAAAGCTGGGGTTGTGACATGGTTCTTCAAATCAGCAGGGTCTCTAGTAATGATGGTTTAAGCCAATATTCAGACCTCACACACAAGGATCTGTCACTGCCTTGTAAGAAGTTGTTGGCGTTAAACCCTGGATCAACAAACGTGGCCCGAGTAGTACCAAATACCTTCCAAGATTTTGGTTTTGCTGGGTTTTGTTTCTTTGTTTCTTTTTTGCCAGTGCCCTTGGAAAGAAACTTAGAATGACATCGTCTGTGGATCTGAATGACACTTATTTTCAGAGGGTGTGTGGGGAATACTGTACATCTATTTTGCCTGCCATTTGGAGAAGAGAGCAGACAGGTTGGAGGCTAACAGTTGTTTGAAAGAAAAATTACATGCTTGGTTAAGTGATTTCATGTGTATGCTGCAAATGATGCCTGACTACTTTTAATCTTTTAGACTAATGACTAGACTGTTAATCTTCTTGTGGAAAGAAGCTTGTCATGAGGTCCTGACAAGGAGCTCCTGAGACAGCGTTTTTGAGAGTCCCCATTTCCAGGTGGGATAAACCAGAGGAAGCAATTCTGTGGAAGTAAGGTCAGGTAACTCATTTCTTTCATAGGCTTGACACCTGGTGATGGCCTCTAGGTTGCTGTTGTTGTTTAGTCGTCAAGTCATGTCCGACTCTTCATGACCCCATGGACCAGAGCATGCCAGGCCCTCCTGTCTTCCACTGCCTCCCAGAGTTGGGTCAAATTTTTTCATGTTGGACACTTACAAATAACTGAGGTGCAAATGTGATCCAAATTGCATGGTAAGAAGTATCCTGCTGTCATAAAATATATGAATCCTGTCATGTATCCAAAACATTTTTCTCAGTGTCTAACATTATTGAACACATAGTATATGAGCAGAGAGTCACTGCTGACCACTGGACAGAGTCTTTGCTCTTGATGTGAGAGACTCAGATTTAATGCCCATCTCAGCAATAGATTCACTGGGGAGTCTTGGATATGTCACTGGCCAACTTTATGTGTGATTTTAAGCTGGAGTTGGGAGGGCTCTGGCCCATACAGTGACAGTGGCCCTCGAAGCAGGTTCTCAGATGAGCCCCAATACTTTGTAGTTATTACCTCTAGTCAGTGATCAGTGATAAGAGATTATTTAAAGCCAGAAAGCTGCTGTATGCAACTGAGACGGTATCTGCAGTCTTCAGAAGCTATTGCATAGTTTTAAGATATTAATCCTAGTTTGTGAAACCATAATTGTAATATCTTCACTCCCACTTTTCTCCTTGGTATAAGTGAATAACAGACCAGGCGGAGAGGTTACAATGACACCCAAATACAGCTAAGAATAAAGTACAAATCCTGGTTTAAAGTTGGTTGATGTGTTACAATCCTGGCTTCTTTGGTCATAATAAACCATAATTGTGAGTTTAGGCTGGTTTATTTATCTGCTTGCATGACTAGAAGAGCAAAGCGAGAGTGAATGAAATGCATGAAGACTTCTTGTTCACCTTGTTCAATAAGTTAGAATTCTTGACTTAAAATGGCATGTGAACATTATAATGGCAAATCATCCCTCTTTATTTGAATAGTGCCTACAGGAACATTAGGCATATCTGGTTACACTACAGAATCCTATGAGTATGACCCTTAGGAGTGTCGTGGCACCATCCTAAGGAATTCTAGAATTTGCTGTTGGAATTCTGTGCTAGTGAGCTTTACCATACTAGCCTGAACTATAATTCCCAACGTCTCTTGAGAAGAGGGATTGAGGGTTAAACCACTGGTGCTGTCAGCAAAGCCCACTCCTTCAGATGTTATTGGGCTGCAACCACACCATTAGCTATGCTGATGTGAATTGCAAGGGGGCCATACTTTGCCCACTAGTTTCCTTGCATCTAAAAATGTGAAGGTTCTCTATGATCATTGACAATAGCTGGAAGTCAGGCAGGGGAATGAATATTCCTAGCAGCAATATATTGTTGTGAATTATGCTTTTCATTCTGCAAATGACAGCTTGCTTTTGGTTTTGAATGGGCAATTAAAACCCATCCAGAAAAAGACGGTTCCTGCTGAAGATGAAAACTGTTTAGAACATTCTTGTTAATATGGAGTATTTTTGGACATTCCTTGGAGTGCCATGGAGTGCAGACTATTCTGATCCTGACTTCAGGTGCCCTTACTTCAGAACTTGCCACTATGTCACTGATTACAATTCTGTTTAAAAGGCTATGCCTAAGAATGACTGAAAGAAGATACAGGGGATTGGTTTTATTTATTTATATTTATATTTATTTATTTATTCAATTTGTATCCTGCTCCCATTTGTGTCATAGCGCTACTATGGTTGGGCTACCATCTCGTAAAATAGAAAACACAAATGAAAATAGAAATATTGGTGTAAGTTTTTAATTGAACTGTTTTAATTGAAGTTGGAAGCCGATTGAAGACTCTTGCAGAGTGCGGATGGCATACAAGTTGAATAAAAAATAAATAAATAAATATTAAAACTGATAACCAAAACCTGAACTGTTTTAATTGATGTTGGAAGCCGACTAAAGACTCTTGCAGAGTGCGAGTGGCATACAAGTTGAATAAAAATAAATAAATAAATATTAAAACATAACCAAAACCCTATGTGAATTATGCTTTTCATTCTGCAAATGACAGCTTGCTTTTGGTTTTGAATGGGCAATTAAAACCCATCCAGAAAAAGACGGTTCCTGCTGAAGATGAAAACTGTTTAGAACATTCTTGTTAATATGGAGTATTTTTGGACATTCCTTGGAGTGCCATGGAGTGCAGACTATTCTGATCCTGACTTCAGGTGCCCTTACTTCAGAACTTGCCACTATGTCACTGATTACAATTCTGTTTAAAAGGCTATGCCTAAGAATGACTGAAAGAAGATACAGGGGATTGGTTTTATTTATTTATATTTATATTTATTTATTTATTCAATTTGTATCCTGCTCCCATTTGTGTCATAGCGCTACTATGGTTGGGCTACCATCTCGTAAAATAGAAAACACAAATGAAAATAGAAATATTGGTGTAAGTTTTTAATTGAACTGTTTTAATTGAAGTTGGAAGCCGATTGAAGACTCTTGCAGAGTGCGGATGGCATACAAGTTGAATAAAAAATAAATAAATAAATATTAAAACTGATAACCAAAACCCTTAAAAAGAAAAGAAAAGAAAACCAGATGGCACTGACTAATCTAAGAGCGGATGGAGGAAAAGAGGGGATGGAAGAGGAGGAGAGGAAAGGGGGGGTGGAGGAAGGAGGTCATCTAGGGTTGGTGTGGAAATCCAACCCCAGTTGCACACCAAAGTAGCAGGTGATTGAGTTTACCTTTTCCTCCAGATTTCTTCTGAGCTGATAAAGGGGCCAGAAGACCATCTGATGCTTATTATGACATTTCAAACAGGTTGTGCTTATAAGGGCAGTGGGTTTTGTCTGCTACACAAAATGTTCAGAAACTATAAATCTTTGTTATGGAAATGAATGAATGAATGAATGAACAAATACCTAGAGAGGGCTAGGAAACAAAAAAATGTAAATAATGGTGGAGAAATAAGTAAAGATGGTTCATGGCTAATGAGACCACTGTGCTTCTTACTCATTCTGGGCAATAGAAGAAAAGGTTTTAGCTTTAGTTGGCTGCTTAGCTCTAATGATATTGCCAGGAGATGCTATGTGCTGTTATCAGCAGCTAATTGCTAGACCAATATTGACCAAATGTGGGGGAAAGGGAGAAAGATAAGGGCTAGAAGGATGTGTCTTGCTTAGTTAACTGACAGTGAAAGTGATTTTCTATGATTTTGTAATGACAAATTTATAAAGGTATGTTAGCCGATCTGTTTGTCATTATCTCAAAATTAGAGGGGGTGAGTTAATAATGGATGTACTGTTTTTAAAATCCATCAGTAAAAGCCTGAACCTGGCTCACATAATATCAAAAACACGATGTTAATTTTTAAAATAAACTTTATAGAAATTCTCTCTCTCTCTCTCCTCTCTCTGTTTTGCATCCCACTTTTCTTGCAAAGTTGGAAAGGATGATGGCTCACAAGACAATTTAAAGCAAGTATGAATAAAAAGACAATACATTATAATTTTAAAAAATTAAAATAACCAAACATTACACTGCATAGCACTTTACAGTAATGAAAACCTATGAGCTCAACTGATGCTGGAATATTTTATTTATTTATTTATTATATTATAACCTATTGTCTTTTTATTTGTACTTTTATTTGTACTTGTAAAAATATGCTGTGAACTGTTTAACTCTGGGCACAATCTGAGAAGACAAAGCTAGAAAAAATTAATGCCAAGAACAGCTGAAAGCAACAGGAAAAGATACATATGAGATGCATTGACTCAATAAAGGAATCCCCAATCTTGAGTCTGCAAGAGCTGAGCAGAGTTGTTATTGACAGACTCTGATGGAGGTGACTTCACAGCACATAACAACAACAATCCTGGGGCAGGAGACTGCGGGACTGTGCAGCTTGCCAAAGGCTACACAGGCTGGCTCTTCGCCCAGGAGGCACAGTGTGGAATCAAACTCCCAACCCCTGTTTCCATAGCCAGGTACCTGAATATAGGGGTGGTAAATGAGGAAGAGACAGGGAAGAGGGAGAGAAAGGTGAGTGTGGGAGGGATACATGCGCTTCTTCATTTGCTGTCTCCCTGTAGATACCTGCCCTAAATAGCAGAGTGACCTGTCTGATCTGTCTTGTTTACTTCCAGTTAGCGCTGCTAATCTACGTAAGACATGGTGGTAATGATTTGCTCAGGTACGATTATCTTCTTTTTACAGACGGACCCCTTGTACCACTGGGTGTCAGGAGAAAATGCAACATCATTTATCCTTGGAAAAAAAGTATGTAGGATGATGCTCTTTGGAAACCGACAATCTGCTTGAAAAGACAGCTGCATTAGGAGATTGGAGAAGTAGCAGCATAAACAAGAATGGCCATGCAACATACAGTAGCAATGTATTTGAGTGACAAATTGCAACATTCGTTTTATAATCCTTGTAATTCCCCCCTCCTGAAGTACCCCAAATGATGTTTGTTTGTTTTGCCAATCTCTACAAACCTGGTTAGCCCATTAATTGTCCCCTCCCTTTCAAATAGATTCATTACAGTGGCTGAATGGCAGGCATCTCTTTAGACTGCAACAAAAACTAGAATGGAAATGTATACAGCAGTATCTTGATTTAAATTCATCTCCTGTGCCCCAGCTAACTTTGTTTCTTTGTTTTACAAATGAAATTTATACTCTCTTGTGATTTATGCATTTGTCTTTCTGGAAACCCTGAACTGAAATAATAACACTCGTACCTGGATTAAAAAGTACTGACCTTCAGCACTGAGGATGAAGAGAGCAGAAATCCTTATTTAATCATTATTCTTAAAGATCCATTAAGCTGGAACATCAGTCAATAGCGTATCTGCTCTACAGAACTTATAATGCTTGTTAGCAATTTCAGACAACAAGTCTGTTCTGGCCCATCTACACAAACATGCAGCTTCCATGTAGCTGAATATATTTTAGAGTTTATGATAATCTATATGTGGAAAAGCCAATTCCTTTTATACTCAAGAATTGACCCCATGGACCAGAGCATGCCAGGTCTTGTCTTTCTGCCTCCTGGAATTTGGTCAAATTCATGTTGGTTGCTTTGATGACACTGTCCATCCATCTCGTCCTCTGTTGTCATCTTCTCCTCCTGCCTTCACACTTTCCCAACCCCAGGGTCTTTTCCAGGGAGTCTTCTTATGAGATGGCCAAAGTACTGAAGCCTCAGTTTCAGGATCTATCCTTCCAGTGAGCACTCAGGGTTGATTTCCTTCAAAACGGATAGGTTTGTTCTCTTTGCAGTCCGGGGGACTCTCAAGAGTCTCAAGAGGAAAATTAGGAGAGGGCAGGGGAACCTAACGGACATCAGGGCATACAAGTGTGACAGTGGATCTCTGCTCTAAAGGGAATCTGTTGAAAACTGACACACTGAAACTCTAGGAGCATATCTGTTTACCAAAGGTCCTCAAAGTTGCAACCCACCTTTCACTGAACTGAGTGGGCAAACCCTCAACTTCCATTATATTATAATACAGCTGAGAGTGTACTTAGGCTTATCTTTTCTTGTAGTATTTAAATTATTATATTAATGATTTGAAATCTGTTGAACTGTCACAAATTGTGCCCTCTTGCATACGTAAATACAACCCAAAATGATATATTTATGTAAGAGAAACTTAAGCAGCTGTCATGTAGTGATTACATTGTGTCAGTGTTCAGTTTCAGATTTTTAGGTGTTTATTAAAAACACTTAATGAAAAAAAAATGCCATCATCTTTTTTTGAACTTCATAATTTTGTGTGTGGACTGCCTGATTGCCAATTGAAAGTCAAGGAAGTATGAAAAGGCAACAGATTTCTATGTGGTATATATGGACTAAAAAGCCTGTGAACAAGGTGGGGCCTTTTACCTAATAAGAAGCTGAACGTACATAATCCATCATTTGGAAAAAATTATGGATTTTAGAGGGACTGCATGATTATAACACACTGTATAGTTGCTGGATTATTTTATGTTTCTGCAATCTATTGGTGCTGAATTATAGAGAAAGAGGTGCAAAGTAAATAAGAAAACCATTTCATAGCAGCTGTGGCAGAAGCTGTTAAAAGGGAACATCAATCATTATGCAGCCAAGGCATAATGCTGCCCGAGGCAAAGAACAAGATAGAACTGTGCTCTTAATCTATGCTAAGAAAAAAATGACTGGGTTAGCAGTTGTATTTTACTTCAACACTGGCAATGGAACAATGCCTTCCCTTACACAGCCAGTACATGGTTGTATTCTCAAATATCTTGCCACTGCTTACAGCATTGCAGTGACAGGATTGGCTGCGGTGCTTATGTGTGGACTTTCTCTTGTACATGTATTTATAGCCTGAAATAATCAACAAGAAAACAAGTTCTGTGCTACTAGTGACACTTCTCTGTCTGGAAGAAAGCCAATAATCTGGAAAATAACATTAGAGCTTTTGATGGCCATAACATAGTTGTAGATGGCAATACTGAAAATTTATACCATGCTAAGGGAAACTTATACCATGCTAAGGGAACTGCTGTTAATCACTTAGTGGCCTCCATTTTAGCATGTTGGGATAACATGTCTCCAGAGGCTGAGACAACACACAGATGGAGACTCTTATCAAGAGAGCTGTTGTATTTAATTGCTATGGTTTGGATGCTTCCAGTATTTGTTTCTTTGTTTGTTTGTTTGATTGATTGATTGATTGATTGATTGATTGATTTCTATACTGCCCCATTAGTACAAGTACTACTCTGGGTGGTTTACAGGTTAAAACTAAGCCCCACGAAACCCCGCATAACATTTTGGGAAGTCACATCACAAATAAAGGGAAACAAGTGTATCCTGTTATTACAATTTATTCCTCCAACCATGTAATTTTGTCAAAGTTCTGTGCCTGAGCAATCAGACTGGCAGATGAATCCAGTGTTTGCCTCCAGATGACCAATCAGAAAATAAAGTACTGTAAACCAATTTGCAACATGTAGAATGAGGCAAGATTGTGAGAGCATAAAGAGACACTTTTTCCCTTTCAAGGGAATTTCTCATCTAAATATGTGCTAACTGCATCATCTACTTTTGCCCTAGGATTCTGCAGTCTTGCAAGATATGGGGAGTGTGCCCAACCGCCACTGGGAGGCACCAGTTTTCTATATATGGTCCTACTTCATGAACACTGTCCAGGTTCAACTGCTTTGAATTCCCTACAGAGTGCATAGAAAGTACAATTAATATTATGGGGAAATGATGGGCCAATTAAACAAAATAAACACAAAAACAATTGAAATGGCTATTCCAAGTAAATATTTCTGTAACAGAACATATCAAGTCAAGAAACCTCTCCATTTAGCTACATGCAATGTGTAACAGATCAGTAAAGTATTAATCTCCATCCATCTGTGTCTACTGTCCCCTCAGGCCTTCAGCTTACGATGTTAATTACTTGTTAATGAAGATGTATGCATTTATATTGCCCTGGTGTCTTTTCCTTTTTCTTCAGAAAACCTCAAGTGGATAAAAAAGATGAATCATGGGTTGTGATTGTTCTCTGTTCTCAATCTAAACTGAAGCATTGGAGTTTATTTAAAATATTTTTTTACCCTGCCTTTCTCCTTAAAAAGGACCTAAGGTGGCTTAGATCATTAAAAGACAGCATTTAAAGTTAAAAACAGTAAGTATTCAAATAATAAAAAGGATGAAACAAATGCCACACTAAAAACAGTAAACAAAAGCAACACTAAAAACACATTCAAAAGAAGTAAGGCACAGCCATACATTAAAAGACCCCACTCAGACAGCCAGTCACTGGGGGACAGCTTGCATGAAGAAACATGTCTTTGCCTGCTTGTGGAAGGACAGCAAAGATGGGGGCCAGCCTGGCCTCCTGTGGGAAGGATTTTCAGAGTCTAGGAGCAGCTGTTTATTCAGATATGATTATCCAAAGAAATTGACTTCTAGGTCAATTGAGTATGGAGTTTTGTTGTTGTTGGTTGTTAAGTCGTGTCCGACTCTTCTTGACCCCATGGACCAGAGCACTCCAGGCCCTGCTGTCTTCCACTGCCTCCCGGAGTTTGGTCAAATTCATGTTGGTTGCTTCGATGACACTGTCCATCCATCTTGTCCTCTGTCGCCCCCTTCTCCTCTTGCCGTCACACTTTCCTAACATCAGAGTCTTTTCCAGGGAGTCTTCTCTTCTCATGAGATGGCCAAAGTATTGGAGCCTCAGCTTCAGGATCTGTCCTTCCAGTGAGCACTCAGGCTTGATTTCCTTCAGAACTGATAGGTTTGATCTCCTTGCAGTCCAGGAGACTCCTCCAGCACCACAATTCAAAAGCATCAATTTTTTGGGCTTTATGGTCCAGCTCTCACTTCCATACATTGCTACTGGAAAAACTATAGCTTTGACTATGCAGACCTTTGTCGGCAGAGTGATGTCTCTACTTTTTAAGAAGCAGGCATCTTTTAATTTTGTGGCTGCTGTCACCATCTGCAGTGATCATGGAGCCCAGGAAAGTAAAATCTGTCACTGCCTCCATATCTTCCCCTTCTATTTTCCAGGAGGTGATGGGACCAGTGACCATGATCTTAGTTTTTTTTTATGTTCAGCTTCAGACCATGTTTTGCACTCTCCTCTTTCACCCTCATTAACATGTTCTTTAATTCCTCCTCACTTTCTGCCATCAGAGTGGTATCATCTGCATATCTGAGGTTATTGATATTTCTTCCGGCAATCTTAATTCTGGCTTGGGATTCATTCAGTCCTGCCTTTTGCATGATGTATTCTGCATATAAGTTAAACAAGCAGGGAGACAATATACAGCATTGTCGTACTCCTTTCCCAATTTTGAACCAATTAATTATTCCATATCCAGTTCCTGTCCCACATATAGATTTCTCAGGAGATAGATAAAGTGGTCAGGCACTCCCATTTCGTTAAGAACTTGCCATAGTTTGCTGTTGTCCACACAAGCAAGGGCTTTTGCATAGTCAGGCCATCTGATGGATTTAGGCTACTGGAATTTTTCAGGTTAGTTTAATTTCTTTTTTCTTCTTGAAGTTTCTTTCTTTCTTTCTTTTTTCATATTCTATTTCTCATTTGCTTTGTTTTGATGAGCCCAAACAGTGCTTTGGCTCATTACATATTTAAATATATAAATGTAACCGTGAATTTTGGCTTTAATTGTTTTAAAGCATAAGTTAATCATCAAGGCAATACTGTACTTGGCAGGAAGTCTCATTGTGTTCACTTGGGTTTCTGCATAAATGCTTTAGCAGAAGAAAGCTTGTTTACCAGAAGCAGTCAGTTCCACTGCATAGCAGTCCTTATTACCAGGAAGTCTCTCCTAATGTTTAGCCACAATCTGCTTCTCCGCAATTTCTATCCATAGGTTGTAGTTGTGCTCTCTGAAAGAACATGAAACAATATCTCTTCCACGTATTTACAATAATGAAAGACAGCTCTTATGCTTTCCCTTTCTCCTCTCTTGATTAAATGTACCCAGCTCTTTCAACTGTTTGACTTCTCGAATTCCAGGAAGAGCAGGATATGTGTGTTAATGTGTGTGTATGTAGGACTCTAGCTCCCCAAAGACCCCAGCCAGCATGGCCATTTGGCCATTTGGGAATTCTGTTCAAAAAGGAAACATTTCCAAAGGCTTGCAGATGCCATACAGAACTGCAGACTTTGCTGTTGTTGTCGTTGCAAGGGCTAAGACACCAGGCCTCCTTGCTATGTTGTAACTGGCTTTTCAAATTTCAAAGTGGTATGTTTTGCTCAGGAAGAGCAGATCCAAAACCTCACTGTATACTTGGAATTAATGTTATAGTTCTCTGGTCTTCAGACCGTCTGAAGGACAGAACAGTTCCTCTGTCTTGTGCAACATTTGTAGTTATAGAAACCTTGTAATGCCCTTTCCCGGCACTGCACCGTTATGTTTCTGGAAGCAAAGTTATCTGACACAGTAGACATTGATAGGCATTTCTGCGGACAAAGTCTCCATGAAATTCTTAGTTCCTCTTATAACAATAGCTCGACCGTGTCGGACAAAGTCTCCATGA